TGGCTGGTGGACGCTGCCGCAGAGTACGAACGCAGCTTAAGATACTCTTTCCAGTAAATTCCGATATCAATTTACCGTAATTTACATGAAATTATATTATTACTATTATATTTATAGTGTAATCATGATATTTTTCAGCACGGGATTTTTGCGAGTTCTCTTTTTCAGCTGTGACAACGCCTTCAGGAACCCTATCCATGGCTAATATCGCAACCATCTTTGCATCTTTTGCACTCATATTCATTGTTTTTCTATTCCTCTGGAGTTTTTATGCTGGTGGTCAACCGGATTCATTTTCGTTATCCTCTAGCGGGACACAGTTCTGCGCTAAAGAAGGTATATCTTCCCGAGTTGTTCCATTGAATGACCTCGGCAAAAGACTTAAACTAGACACTACGCGAGTATTTGACCGGCAGAATCCCACTGCCTATGCTTTGGTTGCTGGATAGGCACTTCCGGGTGGTCCATATTCTCCTAGTATGTGTTATGAATCAACGTCCACGAGCCTTATTCAGAGCAACTACAATTTAGCCCACATTCTTCCTCACTGCCAGTTTAACTAGCATCTGCTGATCTCGAAGTTTAATTTAGAACCAAAAAAACAAAGTAATTGAGGAATGTGTCTTTGAATTTTCTTCTCTGTGCAGATGGAGAAAGGTCTGTTCTCATCAGAGCAATGCTCATTAAACGGGTTTTTTTATACAGGATGGCATATGAAGAGCGCTGATCAAGTGTAGTTACAGCTCGACATTTTGATCCATTAAAAAAATTGTATCCTGCCTTTTACCTCTACAGAGGGATTCCAAGTAAGTCAGAATGAGCAATACTTACGTCAAATGCATTGTAGGCACTTTGTAGTGGGATTCTTCTTGGGTGAGAAATTTTGTGAAGGGATTCTTCTTGGGTGAGAAATTGTCAGGTTCATGGCCGCAAAAGGGTACAGGCGTTGTTCGGTTTCATTTGACAAGGTCGTACTGAGGGCTGCCCTGTACAACGTTGTAGGGTCAGTAGAGCATTTGCAAAACTAGAGTTTAGAAACATGAAGTTTTCCATCACATATAGTTTATAGCATAGCGTATTAACCTTTAACTTAAATTGTCCTCCATTGTTCCTCTATTTGCTAGTAAGGAATTACCTCAGGTGGCTCCAGCTTACCACTTATCCTTTTGTCGGATAGAAAAAGTGATGACTACTATTTTCGACGCGATTTTCTGTTATATCAATAACAGTACGGAATTCAAAGCCAATAATCGTAAGATCAGCACAGAGCTTTGGCAAACAAGGTGAGACCCTTTGACAAGTTCCCTTTCATAAGTTTCACAGCGCTTGCGCTATCCAGAGTCCTACTCAGTCAACAATGTTTTTGACTGATGTTTAAGAACACAATGCACTCTCACACTTCTGTTCTCTGCGTTCTCCTCAGAAAACGGTAGTATTTTTGATCTAAATCCTGAAAGATGTGGACGCCTGAATATTCTTAAACGCGCTTCCTGCGACTGCACATCGTGGATAGCAAATTCAAAATCAAGAAAGCATTGAGCTAGTTGCCTTGGTAGTGGCGAAAAAGTATGCCGCTCTCAATATGGCCCTCTTTCTTGCAATTGATTATAATCATTGTACAAGAGTAAGATGGTCAAGATCAACAGTGATGCAGAAGGTGACGATACACTGCAAAGCGCGGAGAGAGACCAGAAATTGACGGGCGAGAGAGCACAACGGCATTATTACGACGACACGGGCAATGTAGGCCGGCATGGGCCTCCTTGGGCCTAAAATCGAAGTTTCCTGTGCTTTGCGTGCCATTTTCCAAGTTGAATGCAATGCAACTTCTACAATCGCCTATCGGATCATCTGAAACATTCATGAGCTTAGAGCCTTAGTTTATCGCGGAACATGCCTTTAATGGATGTAATGTGACCTATCCGGCTGGAGCGTTAGGCGCGACTTCCCAAACTTCCATTTTCCCCAGCATTTTGCCCTCTGCTTCCATACTCCCTGCACTCAAAAACATCTTGAGGATGCCAAATGACTACCGATTACATCCCAGAATATTTGCCAACAAATAACCCCACCTCCTCATCCCTTCTTTCTTTCTCCTTACTCTTTTTTCCTTCCATCTTCAATTCCGCCTTACTTCCCTCCTTTGAAATGCTCGGCCAGAAGATGCTATGAGGAAATATCTAAAAACCTCGCAGCGAAACAATATCTGATTGACAGAAGTCCTGTAGCCAGAAGAGAGAGAGGCGAGAGACGTAACAAATAACATCAGAGGGGACAACAGCAGAGAGTGGAGGCTCATTATGACTTACCCTCTCCTGAGGGGAAGTAGTGCACGCTCCGGGTTAATAGGCGCTGTTGGATCGTCGCAGACCTACCCCACCGGAGGCACATAGAACCAAAACTTTTATTATGAACTGCGTTCGACGCTTCGGCATGATTTCTCGATTGATGGCGCAAAATTTTTGTGTTATGCGATCAGATGCTTATCATTTTGTTATCCCCACGTAATTTGTCGTTAAAGCACAGGGTACAGTTTAGGCTCTGTGCTGGTAAAAACTGGTACACCAACATGACAGGAGTATATGATGCTATTGGCCCTCAACGAATCAACTTTGTCGTCGTGCGTCATCCGTTAGACAGATTTCTTAGCGGTTTCGCCGATAAGTGCCTACGGTAAGTCTTACAGTTTTCGTTTCGCACGTGTTCTTAGTAAGTCTACAGACTTTTATAAAGATCCTACTATATATAATCCGCTATGTTTGTCTGTTGGTGTGTGGTGTGTCTCTGTATGTGTGTCTGTGTGATGTTTGACCGGAAATTTAAGGCTGCGTTTATACTTTGCGGCAGCGTAGCGTAGCGCTTCCAGCGTACGCCAGCGGCAGTGCCGGGGAGAGGATGCATATCGATCTAGCGTTCCCAGCGTCACCAGCGTCACGCTAGCGTACGCTAGCGTTTCTCCAGCGTTTC